AACATATAAAAAAGTGTTCTCTATCATCAAGAATTATGAAAATGCAAAAGCAAAAACCACAATCCTATATCACCTAGCATAATGGCTACTAAACAGATGAAGTAAAGGGCTGGCCAAATAGCTCAGCAGATTAAAGCACCTGCAAGCAGGCACAGAGGCCAGGGCTTCAATCCCCAGGCCTGCTGAGCTGGCTCAAACCCGGGGGCACACTGAGATGGCGATTGAGACTGGGTGTGGTTGGGGCTGGGGAGACAGCTCAGTGGAATAAGTGCTTCCCTGGCAAGCACAAGGGCCCGAGTTCAATCCCCAGTTCCGCAAAAGAAAAAAAAAGAGACTGGGTGTGGTAGTGTGTGCCCGTAATCCCAGCACTTAGGAAGCTGTAAAACGGAGGATCACTATGAGTTCAATCTAGTATTGAGACCCCAAACACCCTATATACCCTTCCCTAAAATACAGAAGAAAAAAAAAAAAAAGACAAAGTGGCAAGTGCTGGAAAAGATGAAGAATAACAAAAATTCTCACACACAGTAGAAGTACAACTTAGTGCAATTACTTTAGAAATATATCTTTTGTGTCTACTAAATTTGAAAGCATCTGATAATTGGACTATATCTTAAGTACCAAAAGAAATGTATGCATGCATGTACTAAGATACTAAATAAGATTGGTCACATCAATACTCTACATAATAGCAAAAAATTTGAAAATACTCAAACATTTCATGTTGAAATATATTACAGTATAACCATTCAATGTAATACGAAAAGCAACAAGAACTAAAGAACATAAAGCAATATCCATAAAGAACACAGCTATGCAGAAAAAAAAAAAAGTCTGACATATACACAGACATTAAAAAAAAGTCCTGTGTGGGTCCAGTTATAGAAAAAGTTTAAAAGAGGAAAAGTTAAAATAGCAGTTACCTATAGAAAGGCATGATTAGTGACTGCAGCACAATACAGAGGTTTCTTGGGTGCTGGTAACATACTACACTATTTCTAGATATGGGTGATTAGTTTCACGGGCACTTTCACCTTCTGCAACTCACTGAGCTATACACTGATAAACACATGTACATTCACCTCCAACTTGTAAAAATTTAAAAAGGTAATAACAGAGCTTCAGCAATTTCTGCTGTCAAGTGACAGGTTCCACTCTAGCACTTATGAGACGAGCCAGCGTCATTTAGTGAGCAAAACGGGCCTCACAGTTGAATTTGTACACTCAATTATTTGACAAGTACGTAAATCACACAATGGCAGATTCATTGCTGTGTAAGCAGCAGTATATTTTTGGAGAACTTTTATCAAAGTATGTGATATTTCAGATACTTTTAGTGCAATTTCAATTGAATGTACTCTTGTTGTACCCAAAAAAGACTATATATATACAAATTAAAACAATGCTGATATTCCATCTCACTCCAGAAAAAACTAGCTATTTTGAAGAAATCAACCAACAACTATGTACATCTTCCAACCTGATCATATTTCATGTGACACTCTGTGAAGATTTAGTCTATGGAAATGGGCATTTTATCTTCACCTTCCTGCAACTCTAGAAATCAGAACTAAGAATATACAAAAAGTGCTGTTATGTAGCAGGATGTTTACATGTTTTAGAAATTGGCACATTTCACTCAAATACTTGTAATAGAGTGGATCTCTCTGAATATAGATCCTATGTGACACACTCTAAACATAAGTAAAAAGTGGAACAAAATTATCTGTTTCAACTAGGAAACTTACAATTTGAAAACAATGTTAAAATTTTTACTAACCTTCCTTATGGGGAAAAAATAAAAAGTATTTTGAAAATTTAATAAATATATATTGCTCTTAAAATTAACAGGTTAACAGTTTAGTAACAATTTCTATTAATATTTTTCTTTAAAAATTTTGATATAAGAAAGGGTCACCATATGCATTTTATATTTTAATTTCAAGGATAGTGATTTGAAAAAGTAAGTAATAAGTATTAACAAGCTGTGTTTCAAATAATAAAACCTGGGAATTAGGGAATTGTCAACTAGCACCTTATCAAACAAAACCCAGACAGCAAGTTTGTTCTGGCAACTGTTTTTACATATTTATGTGGGATGACCTGAAAATACTTCATGGGGAATCTACAGAGTGACTACATAAAGCATACCACATTTCTTAAGCATCATTTAATAAAAATGGCAGAAGATACACTTAGCCAGTAACATTTATAACATATTTCAAATGTCCAAAAACTCTTAAGATTTAAAAAATGGCATCATAATGGACACCTTCCTCCCAGGTATAAGTGAAATAAAGCTCTTCATAAACAAAGAGGAAACATTACTGGTCAGTGGAGAGAGGCAAATTAAAACAATGATGAGATTTTATCACACTGCAGCAAAAATGGCTATTTTCAAGCAGTCAACCAATAGCAAATGCTAGCAGGGCTGTGAGGAAAAAGGAATCCTTCTCCACTATTGGTGGGACTGTAGACTGGTGCAACCACTGTGGAAATCAGTGTGGAGACGCCTCAAAAACACTAAAACTAGAGGTTCCATTTGACCCAGCTATTTCCTTTCTTGGCATTTTTCTAAAAGAATTAAAAACATCATACCACAGCGAGATATGCACACCCTGTTTATAGGGCACAGTTTATAATAGCTAAATCTTGGAAAGAGCCAAGTACCCCTCAACCCATGAATGGATAAAGAAGATTCAGCATTTTCATACAATAGAGTATTATTCAGCTATACAAAAGGATATATTTGGGACATTTACAGGCAAAGGGGTGCACCTTGCGACAATATTCTTAATGAAATAAATCAAATACAGAGTGAAAATATACTGCACTGTCTTTATGGTATTAGAAACCAAAAGTGAAAAGAATCAGAATGTACACTAGATACTATACAATAGGAAAAAAAATGTTCAACTGGGAAGGGAAACCAAAGAGGGCAGGGGGAACTAGGGAAGAAAGGAAAAAATAAGCAAAGAAGGAGAAGTGGAAGCAAGGCTTTTGTAAATGAGGAGGTGAAGGGGGACTGAAGGAAGGATAAGGGGATGAGGAAAAAAATGAACTGAGATAAAGCATGTCCAGGTACAAAGTCCCTATGATGAAAGTGATCATTATGTATATTTTAAAATGTACCAATAAACTTCATGAATTAACATTATGAAAAGAAAAAATAAAGAGTCCTCACCACTTCTTGTTTCTGAGCTTCATTAAGTTTTTCAGTCAATTCTTCCAAAGCCCTTTTTGTTTCAGCATCTGACCTAAGTGAAAGAAAGAAAAGTAAAGAAAGGAAAAGAAGGAAAGAGCTTTTAAGTTGGAGACTAGGGAAAGTACGCACAACTAGCCAAACTTACAATACAACAATTGAAAGGTATTATGTAGTATTAGGCTTCAGTGGTCATCACATAGGAAACACACAAAACACTGATAGGGCTCTCCAAAATGGGGCTGGACCCCAAACCCCAAATCTGGAACAGAGTCCAAGAATGTGCATTTCTATAAATGTACCTGACAGTGCAGATGTACAGAGCCAACTCCGAGAACCACTGCTGCGGTGAGAAGACTCTGGCCTCAGACCCGAAGTGTAGATCTAGCCTGCATAAAATCCTGCCCACCAAATTCAGAGCATACATGCTAAACTATTAAATAGTAGAGGAAGACTTATGAAAAAAAAAGAAAAAGCCTTTCCCTGATACATTTCCTGACCTCTACACCCACTTCCTATTGGCAACCATGTATTCCACAACCTTTTCCATTCTTAATTATTTTGTTATCTTTACCAATTTCAATTCTGAACATTTCAACTGACTCTTTGCTTTGAAGTGCTTAGCTCACACTGCTGTCCGATGCTGGAGAAATTTATAGCTACTTTTAGTACTATTTGTTGCATGTATAATTTTACATAACATTCATATTCCTTATGAATTATGCAATAATAGTCAAAATGACATCTTTTTGCTCACTCTGTCAAACTCACATTTTAGTTTCTTGCTTATTATCTTAACTGTCTTGTGCCTTTGTTCTTTCTAGTTTATTATCTTTAGGCTTATGCATCATATTCAATGGTGTTTTCCTGTACTTCTTATTGAATCATCCATCTAAGAACAATCTATACCAATCTCTTTGGCTAAATTCTTGTCAAGGACATTTCCTTTCCTCTCTAGTTTGCCGCAGGCCTGCTATATGGCTATCATTCTGGGATTGCTTGCACTAATTTCCTAGAATAGTTTTACTATTTCTTACAATTCATATCTTCTTTCTTGGTTACAATCTTATTTTATTTATATGTCCAGGCAATTGCCTCAGAAAGAAGTTAGTCTCTTAAAACGTAAATTTTCTAAATTGTAAATCTCTGCAAACACATTTATCTTTATCTCTCTTGATTTTTATAGTCCATGCCCCCTAGATTTCCCATAGCTCACTAACTGATCTTTCTCAAGTCAGTCTCTCCTCATACATAACACTGTTGAACATTAAAGCTCCTTAGCACTCAGCTTCGTCCTTTCTCTCCACGTCCTCCATTCCTGTGGTCTGAAATACCACTTCTACACACTGACCCCTCTTAAAATTTCTATCTCTGAGATTTTTCCGTTAAGATCCAAACCAAACCTCTAGCTGCATATTTTATATTTCCATTTGGATGTCTCATCGGCACCTCAAACCTAACATATTCAAGATCAAATATATTTTCCACAACTCAGCTTCCTGATCAGGAAGAAGCACTGCCATCCTCACACATAACCCATAGCTAAATCCTGACTCTGATCCACCAAAAAAACCTTAAACACACATCTGTGTACCCTGCTCGTGTCATAGCCTCGTCAAGTCACCTTCAAGTCTCATCTGCTAAAGCAACAAACTTCTAATCCTCCTCAACTTAATTCTTCATAAGGCATTCAGTATAGGTTAAATTCTGAGGTAAATTTTACTTAAACCTTTCGAAAAAGCTTGCTTTGCAGTATATTTTTACAATTCAATATAATTTCTGCAGTCACTGTAAAACAAAAAGTATGAAGTATTTAATTAAACATGCACACCAACCTTTCTGGATGAAATAGAAAGATAAACCCTACGCATGCACAAAGGTTCTTGTTCTCACAAGAACGTTGTCCTGTATTTCAGGTCACACAAAGATTCCCTGCTCTACCTGTGCCTCTGGATCACACAGAGCATGAGTGGAGGGTACCAGCCTCCAGATCTGAAGATCCCAGCACAACAATGCACATGCAGATGACGACTTAAGCTAATCAGCTAATCATCCATGCACGTTCCTAGTGCTTTACTGAGACCCTTCCATCAAGAGTGTAAAAGCTACACGATGAAGCCATTCCAAATTAAGAATTCATTATCTTATAAATTTAGTAACATTTGTTAATTTCATCAACTGATAAAAAAAAAATCTAAGTGTTAAATTAAGTCTTACAAGTTTAAAGATTAATGATATGGCTGCCAATTAAGCAATTTAAAGGCTTTATTGGTATCATTTTGTGAAAGTAATCTGGCACCACAATACACAATAAATGGCAAAAAGTGAAGACATTAGGGCTTTACTGCCTGGATGTGAATTTTGATCCCACAACATCTGTCATGCTCCATCTATAGCAAATGGAGTTATTTCATTTCTATTGCCCCTTCTATCTCAGAGTTCTTGCAAGAGTTAAATTTAAACCTCCATAGCATGAGATAAGTGTTCAATAATATTAACTAATTGTATCACCAATACTAGTAATAGTAGAGTTCAATGTTTATTACTAAATTTCCTGCCTTCCTCCTCTAAAAACAGGTAAGTTATGCAAGCTATACTTGATAAACTTAACAGACATAGTTCATACTCAACTACAGCAATGTAGAAATGGTATATGGTATGATTCAGGTAGCTGGAATTAGCAAGTGAACATGATGAGCAAGCTTTAATTCAGTTCTGTCATTCCCTACTCATAAATGTGTATCGCCTGTACCTCTTAACAACCTAAAACTCTGCTGAGTTTATGGACTCCAAAATAAAGCAAACTTCCACTGCTGACAGTAAAAATGAAAATATAGTAAAGAATTCTAAATTACATGACCATTTGTATAGAGTACTCAGAACTGACCGAACTGAAAGGGCAGGATGATGTTAACCACTGGCTTTCAAAGATTCAACCAGAACTGAAGGCATGAAATTCTACAATGGCTCACGTCCACTGACAAATTCTATATCACATATGTTCTGTTCTGCAAAGCTGAAAGGTAGCTGGGCAGTCTTGGTCTTGTTCTCTGACACTGTGTCTGTCTGGTCTGTCTCTCCAAACCCCTGCCTCCTTAATGTATTTCCACATCTACCTCTTTGCTAAGATTTCAAAATGTTTCTCCCCATGTCAGCATTCCATTGTATTCAAGAGCTTTTAAAATATGAAACTAGCTTGTCTAATACTGAAAGATGATACATTATAAATTGCAAAGGTACTGAACTAGTCTATTAAATTTTTTAAATACTTGAATAAAAAAGCACTTTTTAAAAATCTATATAAACATTTCAATTTGAGAAACTAACTTATTCTTTTAATAATTCCTGCCTCCCCTGAAAACCATATTTTCTGCTTTTTACCGGCTCCTTCTGGAAAGTTCTCTGTTGAAATCCTCACCAAGGCGAACTTGTTCACTGCTGAGGTCTCGGAGGGACTGATGAAAAGCATGAATCTGGCAAAGGCAAACAGTTACCATTAAGGCTTCTGTTGCATTCTTCCATGAAAATTCATGAAAGGCTGAGAGTAAATCCTTCTTCTTTACACAGTGATCACAGTATCTAATGATATATTAATAAGTATAAAATAAACACCAATTCTAAAAATTTTTTTTCAAAGAAAAGTGATTTGAAAAAGCTGCATAATCATTTAACTATTACAACCTTCACAGTCAGTGATTCTCCTTCTTATACATAGGGGGTCGGTGAACTTTTTCTACCTCCATCACAACCACTCACTCATGCAAATGCAGTCAGGCACAGGATACCACAGTTTGATCCCCACCTCCATCTGCCTTATCAGACCCGCCCTTACGGCAGCCTGAGCCAGCCAAAACAAAAAACAACCACACTCAACTCGGTCACTGTAGAAATAACACAGACAAATAAGGATGGCTGTGTTACACTAAGATTCCATTTTGTCAGGATGCGAGCCCTACTTGCTAACCCCCATGGTCTGAAAGCTCCTACCTATATACTGTAAGAACCACAAACAAGGCAGTATAAAAGAGCTCTGTTCAAAATGAGAATATTAAGCTGAACTCAAAAGCCCATCAACAGTAGAATGCATAAAAAGAAGGGCTGCAAGGACAGCCAACATTTTGGCCCTAGCCTTTCAAGGTCAGTGAAGACTCAGACATAGAAGAACCTGTACCGTAACATCATGTAACTCAGTTGTGTCCCAAATTTTCTGATCAAGGAGATTATGGGGCCAGAGAGGAAAGTGATTCATGATATAGAGTGTGCCTAAGGAGAGTTGCATGGAGAGAGGGCATTCTCTCAGGCTTTCATGGAGGAGAAATTGGTCAAGCAATGGCCGTGACTCATCCACATGGCTGACACTGACAAAGGATCTATAAAGTGTGCTACAGGGTTTCAGGATAAATCCTGAGAGAATCTGACTGACTTTGGCAGATATAAAAGTTTCATTTCTTGTTATATAGGTCTTGCTTTATTTTGGTCTTAACCATCCAGCAGAAAAGTATAAACACAAGGTATAAAAAATAAAGCCAGGCCAGGAAGATGGCTCAGTGGAATAAGCGCTTCTCTGGCAAGCACAAGGGCCTGAGTTCAATCCCCAGTTTCGCCAAAAAAAAGTAAAGCCATATTAATATGCTGCGCTGTAAAAGCCTCAAGTCAACAACTTCTGACATTGCCAGTCCTGCGGATAATCCACTATTATTATGGACCACTGGACTATATTGGAATGTTTTGCTGAATTCACGCACCTACAATATTTAAATGGCAATGGAATACCCATCTCTGACAAAACTAAACAAAAAAAGGGATACAAATGAAGGGCCATTTTGTATCTGTATATACGAGATAGTTGGGATAGATATACAGCTGCTTTCTCTTGGTCAGCGACAGGAGAGATTTGTGCTACTAGTGTTTGGACAGGATGTCATATCTGCATCTTGTACTATGGGTGGCCGCTGCAAAGACAACAATATGCAATGTACTGATTGTTGAAACTGTCCTACTGATTGGGTTTTTTTGTTTGTTTGTTTGTTTGTTTGTTTTATTTACGTATATGTTTTTTTAATTTTATTTATTTGTGTGTGTGTGTGTGTGTGTGTGTGTGTGAGCGTGTGTGGTCAGCTCAGCCCACCAGGGGGCGGGGCTAGCTGGCATGTGGTGCTGGGGGATTGAACTGTGGTCCCTGTGCTTTGCTAAGCTTGTTCTAAGTAGGTGCTTTAGACCACAGAGCCATCTCACCAGCCCTACTGATTGGTTTTGAAACTGTCTCATTGCTATTTGTTTCTCTATAAAATTAATTTTTAAAAAAAGCAGAATACACTTCAGTATTGGTATATATTTCTAGCAGAATACCATACAGCTATAAACAGGAAATTATCTAAGCCAGTCACAATTTAGTAAGAAAAAAATGTCAAAAACACAGCAAATTATACAAAAAGATATTAAGTAATGTTCTGCTTACATACAGTTTAAAAGCAAAGTAAGACGTATAGTAATGATTTTTAAAACATTGTAAAAGTCAAAGTCAGAATAGTGTATATTCCTTGCAGAAGAAACATAAAAGGCTTGAGGGTGGCATAATGTTCCACTTCTTGTTTTGGATGGAGGAAACAATGTTATACCATTACTAGACTTTGACCTGTAAGTATATATGTGCTATATATGAACATGTAATATAATTTATAATATAAATGCTTAAATTATACAAATTTGAAGAAACAGATTCATTTCAGCAGATATACTTTAGGCCAGCCATCCATGCCAGTATCTGTTAGGAAACCAAGTGGCCCACAACCTGATGAAGGACAGATACATAAATAAACTAAAAACTTCACTGGGGTTTAAGAATGCACACAGTGAAGGGGACATAAGAGTTATCTTTAGAGAATGGACTTACAAGAAAAAAGAAACTGGACTTAAAATAAGAAAGAACAGCAAAACAAAGGAGAGTGAGGATAGTGGATGAGCAACAGTTGCCCAATTTTACAAACCGGAATTCTGGGATTCATCCTGCATTCTTCCGTTTCACTGATTTCTACCTTCATCACTTCAGTATCTGTTTTTCAAAACCTCTGAGTTTAATCCATTAGCTTTTAAATCTACTCCCTTAGTAGGAGCCTAGAATTTAGAGCAGGATTTTGCCTCCAACAAAAACAATAAAATAATGACAATAATAATAATGTCAAAGAAAACTTTCTACAAGGTATTGAATTCATTTTCTTCTACCTATAACTTATGCTATAGCAAATGAAATGAGCAGATGAATATTTTGAGAAAAAATTGTAGCACTGGATCGTAAAACTGTCAAAGCCAAGATATCTAAGTCAGAAGCCTTCTCAGCTTTTTAAAGTTAATTTATTAAGACAACAGAAAAACATTCAGCTCTTCAAAAGACTTGCAGAAAATAAAAAACTTTCACAGAACTAATTATTCAGAAATCATCAGTGAGTAAATGAAGCATATCATTAACAGAAAGTAACTCTACCAGTGGTTCAACAATCAGAATCACAGATTGGACATGGTGGTGCATGCCTGTAATCCCAGTACTTGAGAGGCTGAGGCAAGAGGATCACTACGAGTTCCTGGTCACTCGGGCTACACAGTGAGTTTAAGATCAACCTCAACTGCATAGTAAGACCTATCTCAAAAACAAAACAAAAAAAAAAACAATCAGAAAAACACTAATGGGAAAAATCAATATGTCATCTACACAAAGACCAAGCTGTTAATGACTTCTAAAACAGCAAAATGGGAAGCAGCTAACTTAGAGGGCTTTCAATAGTGAGCCAGCTGTGTAGGGAAGGATTAAACATGTATGGTTAAACTCATTTTTAAATCCTCAAAATACAGGCCTCCACAACAAAACTCAAAATAAATCTATGAGAAACTTAGAGCACTGAAAATAAAATAATTTACTTGATTTTTAAAAAAGATATACAAAGTCCCTGTAAACAAATTTTTGGTTAAAATATGACAAAAAATTCAAATTTTAGTCATCTACAGAGGAAATGCAAGGAAATGCTCCGTACAAATCACAATAGTACGGAGTACCTGGGCCATGTCTTCGGTCTCAGGACCAAAGCGGACACCAGTCCTGGACTTCGTTCTTTTGTTACCCTGCAATCCATAGTCCTTGAGGGGTGAGGTTGGAGGAAATCGGTGACTTTCTGCAACCAAAAGGCAAGGAAGAAAATCAAAACCAAGCATAAAGAGAAATGATCTCAAATTTCACCTTGTACCTGCACACCAGATGGATGTGCACGCATTCCATTAAACTGCTTCCCAAGTACTGAACTTGCTATGGCCATAAAATTCCACAATACTGACTCTAAACTGGCTAAGACAGAGTAACAGAACTAACCTGGAAACAGAAAATACCAAACATTCCAATATTTTTTTGTTTGTTTTTCAAAACAAGGAATATGTTTAAATTAAAATAATTACATTAAAAAACAACCCTTCCTAAAATGTAACCTAATACTAATGAATGCATCAGAATATTGCATGTAAAAAATTAATCTAAATTCTAAACAGTGTATAAAACACCAGTAAAAGCCAACTAAATACTTAAAAAGTAAATGATCAGGTCCACCTTTTAATCATTATTGTAATATTGCAGTATTAACAATGCAAGGTACTAATGTCTAAATCAGCTCCTCTCACTGAAGACTCTTCTGTTCAAGTATGAAGAAAAAAGTAAGATTAACTGGGGCCAGGGAGATGGCTCAGTGGAATAAGCGCTTCCCTGGCAAGCGCAAGGGCCTGAGTTCAATCCCTGGTTCGAAAAAAAAAAAAAAAAAGTAAGATTAACTATAGGCAAGTTCAGAATTTTACAACTGTAAAATTAACCCTTAGAGCACACCAAGGCTAAAATCCATCTGTTCTTATCAAGTGTCATAGAATAGTACATAATCGGACATTTGAAACACTATGACACTAAGACAAGATCACTAGCCCAGACAACATAAATCTGGTACATCTTATTTGTGTATTTGATTCTCTGGCAGCAAACAATCACAATTCAAGTTTTCTCTGGTAAAGTTCTGGGTAATCTACAAAGCCACAAGAACTAAAACTAATAGATTTAGAAGAACAAAGACCCTTTAATAAATTTCTAAATATACACCTCAAAATGCTTGACAACTACACATTCTAATGCCTGATCTAGATGTATACTTCTCCATGGATTAAAGATATTGAATATGTGCCCCAGAGATCTTTTGTCAACAGTACTTTTGGAAGGAACATTGGAGGCTTACCCGCTGCAGCGCCAGCATCGAGGTCACTTGCACTCAGACTCGTAACGGACATACTTCTCCCTCCTGAGTTTCTCAGTAAACGTTGACTCCGCAGTCGGCCTACTGACTGTTCCAAATTTTCTTTTAACTAAATTATAGAATATAATGAAGGAAGAGTTAAGTCTTTTTAAACAACATCCAAATATAAATAGACAAGAAATTTTAAAATATCTGGCTTCTCCAAGAAAATAAACTATCGGAAATATTTTGAACTAAATTATATAGGAAAAGATAAAAACAGAAAACATAAACATTTTAAAAGTCTATGCTAGAGGGCCAGCCAAATAGCTCAGCAGATTAAAGTGCCTGCAAGCAGGCACAAGGGCTGGGGGTTTGATCCCCAGGCCAGCCATGCCAGCCCCAGCCACGGGGCACTGAAAGGGCCATTGAAACTGGGCGTGGTGGTACACATGTGTAATCCCAACACGTGGGTGGCTGTAAACAGGAGAATCACTATGAGTCCAATCTAGTAGTGAGACTCTGATCACCCTGTAGACCCTTCCCTAAAATAGAAAAAATAAATA